TGCTAAAGACTGCTCTCCCGTCCTTGCGTGGAGATATCAACCTTGTTTCCGATTGGCTGATAAATTGAGCTCGTCTCGCGTCCCTTTAGTTTCTCGCGTGGAACAAGATTAATTCCACCAAGTGAAGTGCAAGAATCCAGATCATTGAAGTCCACCTTATCACAACCCGCACACCCGATCACCTATATATACATGAACTTACGGATACAGCTCAACAGCCTGGCCTCTGTAGCTCAGTTGGTTAGAGCACTGCACCGGAATCGCAGGGCCGTAGGTTCAATTCCTACCAGAAGACCTTGTGCTGCATTTTTCGCAGTAGTTCCTGGTTAGGTCTTAAAATGTATATATTCTCACTTGGATTACAAACCCTAACATTCTAGCTAATAACTATATAAATACTGGGTCGATCATAGAAAGCCCAATAATTAGTGGTAATAGGCATGATGACTAAAATTGTTTGAAATTCAATAAAATTTCATTGCGTTATCGTGAAACAGAGAAAACTTTGATTCTCGAACAACATTTAAATATTGCGAAAACGGTTATTTTAAAAAACAAATTCGTATGGCGAATCTGATTGTTAGAAAAAAAGAAACAAACCTCGTCAGTCGCGTGAGCTTTCCGCAATAATGCAGGATGGAACGATAACTCGGGATGTGATTTTGAAGCCAAGATTGCGAAAATCGAAACCCGTCTTGTAGGTTTGATCCAGGCCCCTACGCGGAAATTCACGGAATTCACAACTGGTCTTTCAGCATAACTAAATTTTAGAAACACTTCATCATAAAAAGCAATGTTGTTACACGGCTGAAAAACAAGTTCAGGAAGAAACCCCGCCGAGAGACACCAGCAAAATTCTGTTTTTCTGGACTATATGAGGGATTTGCGGAACTAAATACAGAATGATATGGACTGCAGTTGCATCAATCTTACCTTTTCATTTAGTTTTTAACTTTTAGGTTGGGTATGAGCCATTAAAAGTCCACATGGTTGGATTTGTTTCGTCTTACGAGATTGGTGCTCAAGCAACTATTAAATGAGTATTTCATGTAACGTCTATCTTTGGCAACTTGGGTTTTAGTTGTACTGTTAAAGCAAACGTTGCAAAATTATTGTTGTCGACTAAAACAAATTCGCTATTCGCGTTTGCATAAATGAAGGAAACCGAGACGGTGTCTAGCAACAAGAATTTAAAGTGGTATATACCAGTATTTTATTATTTTCAGTTATTCATAGAGATTTGATATCTTTGTCGGCCGAGCACTTTCATCCAATCACAATGCTAAACAGTTAATTTTAATTAGATGCAAGCACTCGCAGCGAGCTGCGAGGAGCTTCATGCGAGGACTGGAAAACTGCCTTATGGCAATTAGACCATGCTATATATATTCATCTTAAATATATGCTTATTTCTATAGCCCCAGCGACTTAACGCTCTACAGAGCGTCTTGTTCAATTAGCCATTTCCCAAATTCCTGGGTCTAGTCGCGCAAATCCCATGTTGGAGCTCGAGAGACAAGAAATATGGCAGCATACATTTAAATAATGTAAAAAGGAGATATTTCATTTTTGGTTGTCTGAAAAGTTGATTTTGATAGTAGATACTATATACTCTAATTTAATTGCTTTTCCATCACTACTGTACAGAAATAGCACACCGCACACACGCACATACATAATACAATGGCATAAACTGAGTTGATTGTAGGGTATCCGCAACAGCCTGAAACCAATTACTGAGGGCCCAAAACGGTAAGAGACAAATATCAATAATACAAACAACAATTAAACCAGGCAGACTAAGAATAACAGTTCATCGAGTTCGTTAAAATCCTTGCTCTATAGCATTTCGGGCAAATCGTTTTAAAAGTTCGTGCATCACCACAATCGTATGTGCTCTTTAATGCAGTATAATCTTTCACATATATTTGACGCCTGTCACTATAATTTTGTCCCTGCAAACGATCCTAGAATGCACTGTGATCCCGTTTGGAAAAAGGCTAATTAATACTTTGTTTTGTGGCAGACCGATTGGATTTTTAGGATTTGTAGAGATTTTTGGGGATTTCACTTTGTTGACTGAAGGAAGTATATAGGAGCAGTCCTCCAGTTATTATACAGCTGATGATCAGTGGTTGATACCAACATCAGGCTGTTAGTGCGAGATATACACGACTATAAACGCTCTACATTGATATACCGCCTTATGATTCTTTACAGATGAAACATACTGTTGCGGAATTTTGAGGTAAGCGAAGTTCTATATTTGCTCTGTCTTTATGGTATTGAGCACTCTTTGCGTTTCGTATACAAAAACCTATATATATATATATATATATATATATATATATATATATATATATATATATATATATATATATATATATATATATATATATATATATATATATATATATATATAGTATATATATATATATATATATATATATATATATATATATATATATATATATATATATATATATATACAGCTAATTCAAAAAAGGTTGTCAAAAAATCTTAAACCTTAAACTCTAAGCGCGCAAAGCGTAATGGGAGCACTATTTAAGCAGTTTAGAAAGCATACATGGAGCCCATTTCTTAGAGACATGGTAAATATGTGCCTGCGAAATCATTTCACTCACAAACAGCTGCAATATTCAACTACAAAGCTTGAAATCAGTACTCCCATTATGCTTTGCGCGCTTAGAGTTTAAGGTTTAAGGTTTAGAGTTTAAGGTTTGCAAAGGACAACCTTTTTTGAATTAGCTATATATATATATATATATATATATATATATATATATATATATATATATATATATATATATATATATATATATATATATATATATATATAGCATTACAGTAGTTCTAGATTTAAAAAATTTTCGGAGGAGCATGCCCCCCCGACCCTAGGAAGGTCGCGCCGTGAGACACGTACGGTGCGTTTCGTCACTAACGATGTATGACAAAAGGGCCCCCGACACAAAATATGCCTAAGGGCCCCGTGTTCCTCCGTTACGCTACTGGTTGTAGAAGGTCCTGGGTTTGTTTGAATATCTCCACAGGTATTAATCAGCAACTGGAACGTTGCCACGCAATTGGAATAATATTGAATGCGAGATTTTAGACGCTTGCGATTTAGCCTTTTGTCCTTTGCAACACGTTTCTGTAATATGCAAATATTCGGTTGAAGAGACATGCAAATCTGAGCTCGTTCGGCTTGGTTGAGCAACACTTCGGGATTAGCTTAATTGCGATAACAAAGTTAGCTGTATTCCTTGCCCGATACTACGATACTATCTTCAGACATATACATTGTCAACAAGTGAACTTTGCCATAGTAATAACCAAATGAACCATTTTCTTTAGGATTGTTAAGTGCGACAAAATACGTTCGGGATTGAGTCTGTTCATCGTCATTTCGTAATTCATCAACATCAACAGTTAGAAATCGCTGATATTCCCGCTTAATTTGACGGTTTTCTTCGCCAAATACATGAATTGTAGACGAATGAGCTTTATAAAATAAGTCAGAACTAAGCCCAAGTGTTCTAAAACCAATAAATAGCACAAAACTGAGGAGAAACACAGAGCTTGTAAAGATATGTCTATCCGCCATCTTGGCAACATGGCAACATGGCACAAGCTGCATATAAGATCTTTAACAGAAATACAGTAAAAGTAAGTTATAGCTGCATGAGCAATGTTAAGTCTATAATCACTAAGCACAATGCACATATAGCTAGGATAAGAACAAGGCACAAGGCAAGGGCACTGTCAATTACAGTTGTTCGAAAAACGCAATATGTCTCCACTCCAGAAACAATGCATGACTATAAGGACATAGTATACAAAGTAACAGTCACAACAAGCAACCCTAACACGATCATGAATTATATTGGCATGACATCAACTACATTTAAAGAGCGTTTGGCTAACCATAACTATACTTGCGAGCATAAAGAGCACTCAAACAAAACTGAACTTTCGAAATATATTTGGACATTGAAAGATAGCAAGAAAGATTTTAATATCAATTGGCAAATTTTGAAACGCTCTATTTCGTATGCGGGAGGATCAAAACGATATAATTTATGTTTGGAGGAAAAATTTTGTATTTTGAAAGAAAACCAAAACTGTTTACTCAATAAAAGAATGGAAATTATATCTACGTGCAGACATAGGAAGAAATTTCGCGTAAACAACGCAAACAATACACTCCCACAATTCGATTAGGCATTTCCGCGTAAACAACGCAAAGAATAGATGAATGCATGCTTTGTTTCACCCACACCCCCCCACGTTCCGGCCAAAACACATATAAGCAGCCCTATTTTTCGAAACTTGTCATACCGCCTGATGATTCTTTACTGATGAAACAGACTGTTGCGGAATTTTGAGGTAAGCGAAATTCTACATTTGCTCTATCTTTATGATATTGAGCACTCTTTGCGTTTCGTATACACAAACCTATTCGTTCGTATATATATATATATATATATATATATATATATATATATATATATATATATATATATATATATATATATATATATATATATATATATATATATTTAATTGCCTGAAGATCGTCTTGAATAAGGCGTGAAACTTGAGTAGCAATAATTAATTTTAAGATATAAATATATATATATATATATATATATATATATATATATATATATATATATATATATACCGGGTGTCCCAAAAAAAAGTACTCTTGTTTGATTTATAATAACTTCTAAAAAAGTAAAGCTATCAAACAGAAATAACTACATTACAGTTATATTTTACCTAAAAATTCACCGAGATATTAATGTTCAAAATCGGGAGCATATTTTCGGATGTGTCTAAAATGAGCGAAAATCGGCATATCAAATATAACTCCAGCGTTTCTTTGTTTAATAACATATCAGGCTAACTTGTATTTCAACGAATTGTCGTTAGGGTTTGTATAAGGGATATGGCGTAGATTTAGACGTCTTAACATATATGCATGTAAGTCTTAGCTCATTGTTTCCTGAAATATGAATGTTCGAAATTATGCAAGTATTTAATAGGTCTTTACAAACTTAAAGGTACATGAAAGACCACTAAGGCAGGCTTAAATTTTTCTTAAATAGCCTAATTTTTTTTTGTTTTTCATGGGTTAAAAACAGAGTTGATTATTTCTCGGTTAGAGCAGGATGAATATTATTCTTTAACGAAGGAAATAATATTGCTTTTTGCAAATACACATCACAGTATCGACGCTACTATTTTGTTACGTTTTGTTCCAAAAATGTTGGATGTCTCTGGGGAGTTGCTTGTTATGACTTATGAAGTTGTATGGTTTGATTGTGTTTCATTCTCAGTTTATTCTGAACTTAACAAGATAAACAAGATTAAGAAAAGGCAAATGAGTTTGAGTTTTCTTAACAAGATTTCAGAACTTTGAAGA